GCCGGGGAGCGAGGCTTCCGTTTTTGGCCTTGTCGACGATTCATTTTCGTTTTTCTTCATTGTCGTTCTATTTCCCATCTCTATAGTCAGTATCAATCACCATAATGCCCAAACACGAGCCTGACTTTTGCCTTTAAGTGGAGTCATCTCACAGGCGATTCCGAGGAGGTGCGAGGTGACCTACTGTGCGCTTCAGTACTGCACTAATTGCACTACCGTACTATGTTTCAAACTAAGTATATACACCCACGTTTTTTCCGGAGCTGCACATAGCTGTGTTACTCCGTCGTTCTATTCATACTCATGTATTACAGTAATGGTGCATCAAGGACCTAAGAAGAAAAATGGTCACCGCTGATGAGCGGTGAGCTCATGGAGTTCAAATGGACAAGGTTGGCCAGAAATGAAACACTTCACTCCGCATCTAAAACAGCATAAATTACAATTTTCTAAATTCAAACCGAATGCTTCTAACTGAAAATCAATGAGCACATTACAATCAATATAGACGTCATGATAGCTTTGTGCACCGACGACATCAGGAGAATTTTCCGTGGTAATGGGGAATGGCAAATCCATAGTTTTGTAATACATTATCATTACATAATTATAGGATGATGAATGAGGATGCATGGCCCATCTATTCACACCATTCGTGTAATTGTGATCAATAGATGCTCATAATCACACTTGTCATTTTTCATTTATTCGATGCATTTCTAATCCCTCGGCTTTCGTATTCAGCGACTTCATGGTTAGGCGAATATTTATTGACACTCTATACATAAGCATTCCACAAAATTTGATTACGCTGCCAATCATATTATTGAATGGTTGCTTATAAAGCAAAAGAACTGACGAGAGTGGGATTCGAACCCACGCCTCCGAAGAGACTGGTGCCTAAAACCAGCGCCTTAGACCGCTCGGCCATCTCGCCACGGAGCTGTCTCGGCGCAACTCGTTTGGTCAACAACGGGTGTTTTCCTTCTCCAATTCGCTTCTTAACCACACAGCATCTCTCCAATAGCGAATGGAAAGTGTTGACATGTGCTCCCCTTATTTTCGTCACTTAGTAATTATTACTTGAGAAGTTCTTTTTGAGTGTTGGAAGGAATGCTTCGGAAAATAGTCGACGCTTTAGAAATGAGGGGACAGTTCCGTATAAAACTCAATCATGGTCTCGCGTGAATGGATTGCTTGACTCCCCTCAGTAATACACTTTAGATCTCGAGTAACAAGGTGGGTTGATGGGCATTTTCAACACAATAAACCTAAACAACGAGATGAACCAGCAGAGCCTGCATTGTTTACGGCTACGAGTCGTTCAACGCCCTCATAATCGATTGTGCTAGCCATGTACTGCTATTATTTAATTCTTTTGTTTGTTTTTCCAGTGATGTGTTTCTTATGTTGAGAGGATTGAATTTTGAGAGCTCAAAAGTCTTCTGAAGGGAGATGGCGCGCAATAACGCACGCAAGCTCCATGGGATCGGGTTCCATTACAAGAACGCCGGCAAATTCCGCCAGCTATCTGTCGTTGGATGATGATCGATTAAGATCTAGACAACACTGATTGAACATCGACCTTTACTTCATGGTTTTTATTAGTACAGGCTACAATTGAGCTGCTTTTCGCGATAATGTTTGCCGTCTTGGATTGATTTATGTGGCTCACGAAACAAAAACCCGAACACCTCGATCTCAAAGCCCTGTGGGAGTATAAC